AACGGAGTCTTGCACTGTCACTGGGCTGGAGTACAATGGCACGATCTTGGCTCACTTTAACCTCTGCCTCCCTGGTTCACACAATTCTCCTGCCTCAGCTTCCTGAATAGCTGAGATTACAAGTGCACACTACCACACCCAGGTAATTTTTTGTATTTTTAGTAGAGACGGGGTTTCACTATGTTGGCCAGATGGGTCTCGAACTCCTGACCTTGTGATCCTCCTGCCTCGGCCTCCCAATGTCCTGGGATTACAGATATGAGCCATCATGCCCAGCCTTATACATGTCTCTTATCTCCCTACCATTTCTGGGCCTTTTGGGCAGAAGTAGGATGTAATAAAAAGAGAATTGACCTTGCTATCAGAAGTCTAGGAGCTGATTCTTGGTGACCCTTGTGACATTAGGCAAGTCACTTAACCTCTTTGAGCCTTAGTTTTCTTATCTCTAAAGTAAAATAGTAATATCAAGTTCCTAGTCTTACTGAATCAATCAAAGGAAGTTTTTCCAAGGTTTGGGAAAGCACATAGTACCTGGTGTCTAGTTGCCACACGAAGCATATATATTCACACTTATCACACTCCTCTTCCCAATTGTACCATTGAGCACACCAAAGACCAACTATGTCTCTGCTGCTTTAGATCATAGAGGCCAGAGCCCTGGAGTTCCACACAACAACCACAAATCCCAGAAGCACAAACCTGCCTCATAAACTACCCTGTGCTCAACCCATTCCTCCATCCAGATCATTAATCGTCGGAAGTCTTAGGAAAGGATGATACTTGGACACACCTCAACTCGGCTAAGGGTGTGCTTGGAAAGTGTTCACCCTCGGCACATCTCACTGTTGCAAATGGTGGCTTCAGTTTCTGGCAGGAGACAGTTGATTGGAAAGAAAATTTGTAGCCATAGGATGAAATGATTGCCCATCCAGTGCATCCTAAATGTGGGAAGAGAGGACCAAGAGGGTGTGATTTGAGATTTGCCCCTGGGCCTGAAATTCCTTCCAGTGGTGCCCTGCCTTTGGGTTAAGGCATAGTATTGTTGCCAGGATCTAATATCTTATCTGGGGTGGGCAGCAGAACCAGTGGATGTGAAGATATTGGGAGATGTAAGAAGAGCTATGCAAACATGATAAGGCACAATAACTAATGAGTAGCCACTGACATAATCACAGAAGGCCAAAGCAGAGAGGAAGAGCCCTTAGGAATCTTCCATCCAACTCCCTTATTTGGCAAAAGAAGATAGCTAGGGGTCGGAAACACTCAGCCGAGGCTGTGAGTAGCTGCAGAGCAGGACACCTAATGCCCATGCCATTTGGCACTGAGGTCAGGGAACTTGGAACATTTTGATGTGAGGGTGTTGGAGAAAATGTCACAAAAAGAGACTCAGCATTCAGGTTTGGAGCTGAGGGCACCAGAGAAACAGTTCAGGAGCTATTGTGTTGGGGAGAGAGAGGCCAAAACAGGCTGGTGCAGAGATACAAAGGCATCTGTGTTTTCTGGTAGGTTCTTATAGTTCTCCTCACTTCAGGATGCCAGAAAGAAATGGCGGGATATCCATGACCTGGGCATTCCTCTGCAACTGACCATCCAGGGGCCACCCCAGAATGACCACTTCCTCCTCTTAATTTTGGTCTTCTCACTACACAGGAGATGGGAGTGAAGGAGGTGAACTCCGAGTCTGACGGCTCTGACCAGTCTCCACGATGGGGAAAGCCAAGTCAGGGTTGGTTAGTAAATTAATCTGAGGATGAACAACTTCATGTGAGCATATTTAGAAATAAGTTTAGAGCCTGTAATCCCAGCACTTTGGGAGGCCGAGGCGGGTGGATCATGAGGTCAACAGATCGAAACCACCTTGGTCAACATGGTGAAACCCCATCTCTACTAAAAATACAAAAAATTAGCTGGGCATGGTGGCGCATGCCTGTAATCCCAGCTACTCAGGAGGCTGAGGCAGGAGAATTGCCTGAACCCAGGAGGCAGAGATTGCAGTGAGCCGAGATCGCGGTGAGCCGAGATCGCGCCATTGCACTCCAGCCTGAGAAACAAGAGCGAAACTCCGTCTCAAAAAAAAAAAGAAAAAGAAAGAAAGAAGTTTAGGGTGATGATTTTAAGTTCCACCTTTTATTTTTTTTTAATGCATCTTTTCAGGTGACATCTTTGACCTGATTAACAGAACATACATGGGCCTAATGTACAGTATTAGGAGATAATTGCAATGGATGAAAGTCACTTGAGTCAATTAACTCTTATTACCTGGAAACCATTTAGAAGAGGCAATAAATTATTGGGACAACACAATTAGCAGTCCCAGAATGAAACAGATTTTGTGTGTGTGCACGGAGAAATCCCCCCTCCTGAGGACCTGTCAAGTTCAAGGGTAGATGTTTGAAGGGATCGCTGTGCCCTTTTGTGTTCACAGGAGTGTGTTAACATGCAACGGGGCTGACATATCCCAGGCTAGACCGAAGCAATGAAATCAGCTTTCGACGCCTGAGAACAATGACGCCTGTGTCACCACCAGTCAATGGCTGCTTCAGTGCCTTGTCCCTAATAGACTCTCCCTGAACTTCAGTCAGTTGGCTGAATGATATTGAGGTTGGGTCTTGTGATTCCATTTAAAGATCATTTCTAACACCTCCACTCCTGAATTTAAAAACCTAAACGACAGCATTTAGAAAGACCTTTTTTCATCAAGTCACAGATTCTATACCAGCATGGATGGAGATGGGATAAAAACAAAGTTTTGCCTGCAGATTCTTTAAGGTACAACTGCAGTAGCAAATAGACTCCAAGAGCCTCACTGATCTTGTACATTTGTTTTCAGTCTGTGGGAGATGAATGTGTTGTCCCAGAGCAGGCCCAAGTTTAATTCAATGTGTCTTAACGCTATAGGATTCCGGGCCCCCTGGCACTTAATCTACACACCGTTTGCTTATTAAGTAAGGAACTACCCAAGAATTCTTTTGCAATGATCTGAAATAGCCTGGCATTTGCTTTCACTGACCTTTTAGTGTTTCTATCACCTAAAGCATTTTCCTTCCACTGCCGCATTACAAGCAGGATTCAAATTCCTAACAGCAGAGGGGGAAAAAAAAAATCCCAAAGCACAACAAATGTTAATGATCAACATTTCATTTTTATCGTGTTGACTATTTCAACCACAAGCTTAAAGAATTATCAAGGCAGACTGCATTAGTCCAAATAAGCTGGAAATAATAGACTGGCCAGAACTAGTGCTCAGAAGGCAGATTTATATATCGAGTAATTGAAAATGTAATAAAGAAAAAAATAATTGCCATAGGACACAGGTCTCTCTCTCTTTTGTGTGTGTTCCTCCAAATTTGTGGGTTTTAAAAATATATCACCAGATACTTTTGTGATCATCTGTGACTTCTTCGATGATGATAAATGTGCAATCTGATCTTTTAGAAGAATAAACAGTTCCTTGTTAATTAATTTATACAGCTGTCAGTGCAGCTTTCTCTGTCTTCGCACTCTAAGTGTTTCCCTGCCATAGATTTTCTTGCCGTTTCTGGCAAACCTCCAGTGAGAGCCTGGGATTTATTAGGCTGACTTGGTGCAGAGTCTATTGATTGTGGCCCCGAGGGTAATAACTAAATAGAGCCGGAGCAACAAGTCAATAACACCATTGTTGCTGCAGCCTGCATTCACTCGAGGAGTGAGATTGTTTTACAGCAGCCGAGGGTAATCGTGGGCAGATCAGTGTGTTCAACACGAGCTGCACCGTGTTAGTGCTGAGGACTATTTGAAAGCTTTCAGCGGGATCACTGGAGAATTGGGGTGGGGTACTGGGATTATGAACCCTGTGAACTCCTTCATTACAGCTTAAAGGTTTCAACTTTAGTTTTTAACATCTGCTGCAACCTCGGGGAGCTGAGGAGTAAGGTTGGTGCAGGGGAGTGCAGAAACAGGCTCTGGGCCTTAGCACGAGGCAGTCTGTTCTGGTCTGTGTCCCGGATACAAGATGGTTATGAGCAGAGAGATTGTCTCACAGCTGCTGTCTGACATCCATCCGTCTATCCGGCTGCCCATCTGCATGAGGTGCCAGCCAGTGGCATCATCCTACCTCCTCATACCCCAGATATATTCAACATAAACCATCTAAATGGAAGAAGCCGCATTATTATAATTTTCTCACTCCCAAATCTTGAGTTAGGCTGACTTTTTTTTTTTTTTTTTTTTTAGACGGAGGCTTGCCTCTGTCCTCCAGGTTGGAATACAGTGGCAAGATCCTGGGTCACTGCAACATCTGCCTCCCAGGTTCAAGCTGTTCTCCTGCCTCATCCTCCCGAGTAGCTGTGACTACAGGCATGCAATACCACACCTGGCTAATTTTCGTATTTTTAGTAGACAAGGTTTCGCCATGTTGGCCAGACTGGTCTTGAATTCCTGACCTCAGGCGATCCACCCGCCTCAGTGTGAGCCACTGCATCTGGCCAGGCTGACTTAATTTTAAAAGCCATTTTCTTAAGGCCTGCTTAGGAAGAGAAACTAAAACTCACATCTTTCAAAGCTTTTTAATTGGTAGAAGTTCACTACTCCGACTTTTACATATCCAATGATTCGTTTTTTTAATTAAAGAAAGTAAAATCAAAATCTGTGTCAATTCCTGTCACTCTTTTGCCTTTTAAAGAATCCTCATGGATTCTGTTTCTATACATGGAGGACCAGAAAATAAAAGAGACAAGTTCCCAGATGTGGCTAGTGCTGATCTCCCTCCCAGCCTTCCAGGCTTGCCTTGTCTGGTGCTGTCTGAATTACTGCAGTGGTGTTCGATTTCTCAGACCCACCATAGAAAGTTCCAGGACCTTATACCCACAATTCAGGTGCTAAATTGACACCGACAAATCAGTGCCATCTCCTCAGGTGGGAGGGTGGAGATAGCCACAGAGTAGCCTTGGTTTATCCTTTGAGTCTGACATAGAGCGCTGGGGGGCAAGACCATCTCTGGGGCCAGAAAGTGAAAACAAGACTTCACCAAAAAGGATTTTATTCTGAATGTAAAACCTCTCCATAGAGATGCCTTCCCCATAGTCCTTGGTGATCATCTCATTTTAATTCCATGCCTGACATTCATCCATCAGATGCAGAACTCATTGGCAGGGAAAGGGATGAGAGGCCTTCATATCCTGGACATGGTGGTGTTCATCCTCTGGCTTCTTCATTAAGGAAGTGCTACGGTGAATCTCAGTTCTGCCCATGTCGTCATTTAACTTTCACAGAAGCAAACACAAAGTATTGGTGACAACAAGTTCCATAATAGCTTTATGGAGCTCACATTCCTCTAGAAAGTGGCCTTTCTGATCTATGAGTTGGAATTAACACTGACCTGAATAAATATCACCTCATTTTTAGCTTAATACCAAAGCCATCATCTCCATGTTATTGAACTGAAGAACCTTAGAATGGCTTCAGGAAAGGCTGGTGACTCTGTGCACTGGCTAAAGTTCTGCCAAGACCATTCACCATTGTTACCCCAGTTGTCCCCGTGATAAGAGATGGCCATTGCGAATTATGCCCAAATGTCACCACGTGAACTGAACCGATTACCCACAAATAACCACATCCTTGTGTAGAAACAGAATAAACACCATCTAGACTGAGTGCACATCTTTCATAAAATGTTGTATTTTTTAAAAGAATTTAATTATTCTGTACAGGACCAAGAGCTTTTCACTCCTGTTTTACTGGAAAAAAAAAAAAATCTTTGGCAAATCTATGGAAAAAGGTAAAGCTTAAGAGGGTTTTAAAAAATTCCTTGCAAGGATGAATCACTTTAATGAAAGCTTCAGAAGCATGGAGCCGTTCCATCAGGTAGCCATCCTCCAGGAAAAACATTTTTATTTTAGTTTAGTCAATACTAACATACAACATATGGCCAAAGGTAGACTGCCTCCTTGCTCTACTGGGAGACATAAATAGCTTTCTTATCAGACGTTTTTTTGTCTGAATGAAGAAAGTCCTGTCCAGTCTGCTTAGGTTCAGCTCTGTGATCCAAGAAGTTTTCGACATATCAAGATGACCTAAGAGTTGATAAGCCTTGGCACAGGAAAGAAATATGCAAGAGAATTTCAGAAACTGAATGATATGTTTTCCTAAAAGAAGGAAACAAAATAAGAATAATAATCGAAAGAGGTTTGTTGAATATTTTCAAATTCTTAAAGAAGACGTTTCTGTTTAGGTGGCTGTGGAAATCTCACGTTTGCTTTATCACCGCTTGGAAAGGGACAAGAGAAAGAAATACCGAGGGGCACACATACCCGCAGTTCTTTTGAGTGAAATTACCAAACATTTCATCTCGAGATTTCCAAGAGGAGAGGCCAGATATTTTCAGTCATATGCACTCTTTAAGGGTCAGAAAGAGTCGGAATCAACTCAGATGGAATAAACATGGGGATAAGCAGCTGAAAATAATAGCTTTATGTATTTACTAGATGCTAAGAAGTCGAAGGAAGTGGTGTGTGAGCTTGTAAAACAGTGGCTGCCAGCTTTATCTTTTTAAGAGGAGACTAGATTTTGACACAGAGATAAGGAAGGCCGGAACAAACAGTGATCTCTTAAACTGCTACCCATAAAATCGGTTTGTTGTGAATATATCTATATGAGAGATTGTCCTCTCTTTTTCACCTATGGGTCAGGTCATTCTAAGCTGTTATATACTCATGATGCCAAAGGTGTAGGCGCTGGACTTACGTTCAGCTATTTCCTGATCATCTGGGCTTGAATTTAATGTCCTTGGTCTGTTAGCACATGCTCACCCCACTATTCAAAAAAATGACCATCTCGGTACAGAGTTTTTTGGCAATCAAATCTGCTTCAGCATCTCCAGTCAACATACATTTTTCCTCATTTTGTATTTCCTTGTTTCTGGCATTTTATGGATTAGAATAATCCAAAAATAGCCATCAAAAAGACTACTCCCATAAACAGGTAAGATTGGCGAGAGAAAAAAATTATTTTTCAACATTATTATTAAGTAGAAGCTCTCATGCTCTGTAGAGCCACATTCCCCCATTTACAATGTGCTGTTGAGGCTGAGAACTTCTTTAGACTTTCTCATAGATTATTTTTATGTTACAAGCTATTTGTTACTTACTCAGTTCTGAGTTACTGAGGTTGTTTAATTCGAAACTTACTTTATGGCCGAGCACAGTGTCTCACACCTGTAATCCCAGCACTTTGGGAGGCTAAGGCAGGAGGATCACTTGAGGCCAGGCATTTGAGACCAGTCTGGGCAACCTAGCAGGACTCCGTTTCTGGGAAAAGAAAAAAAAGGGCAAAAATTAGCCCAGTATGGTAGCATGTGCCTATAATTTCTGCTACTTGGAAGGCTGAAGCAGAAGGATGGCTTGTGCCCAGGAGTTCACGGTTGCAGTAAGCTATGATCACGTCACTGCACTCCAGCCTAGGAAACAGAACAAGATCCTGTCTCTTAAAAAAAAAAAAAAAAAAAAAAAAGGAAAATAAAGTAACCTACCTATATGCCTAGAATTTGGATAATTGGAAACCTGGGTAGCACCATGATCTTGGTGGAAAAGGCATTGAGCGATTTCACTTGGCGTTTGCTCAAATCAGGCACATTATGTCAGAATCAAACTTTTAAGCCTTTGAAAACAAAATGTAAAAATAAGCCCATTTTTCTCCTTTGCTTCTTGCAGAAAGTGTTTTCAGTGGAGGTTTTCTAAAATTATAATTGACCACGTGCCGTCTCATGTCCCAGGAACTAGAGTAAGAGTTCAATATGCATAATCTCATTTAACCCTCGTCTTAACCTTATTGACTATGCATTGTTGTTCCCATTGTATAGATTAGGAAGCTAAATATCAGTAAGATTAGCATGTGGCTTTCTGAATGGCTAATAGAAACAAAATCCTTATTATGGTCCACAGGCTGGCAGGATTCCATCTCTGTTTCCTCTGAGGCTTGACTCCCGCCCATCATTCTCCTCCCGGCCTTTTCCTTCCCGAGCACACCAGCATGCTCTACAGATGAAGGGCCTTTGCACATGCCTTACCACCTGCCTGGAATCCTTTTCTCATTCCCACTCACCCCTCCCACTTTACTTTTTAACCTAGACCATCCTTCAGATCTCAATTCAACATCATCACCACCTTTGGGACACCCTCTCTGGGTCTCTAGACAAGCTCAGTCCTATGGCAGCCTCAGAGGTGCAGCTGTCAACCTTTAAGGCATGCCGTCCGCCCCAGGTGTTAGTACCCTCAGGGACACATGTCGGCATAAGAGCCAGGCCATGCTCTTCCCAGGCAGCCCCCAGCTATTGACCGGTTGCAGTGTGTGGTCCTGAGGCTAGGCAGTTTCTGCCCAATGTGGGATTCCTCTCCGGGGCTGTCTGTCTTGGCTCCAGATCTCCTCACTAGGTTGGTTAAGACTTGGTCAGTTCTGGCTGGGCACAGTGGCTCACACCTGTGATCCCAGAACTTTGGGAGGTTGAGGCAGGTAGATCACTTGAGGTCAGGAGTTTGAGACCAGCCTGGCCAACATGGTGAAACCCCACCTCTACTAAAAATACAAAAATTGACAGGGCATCGTGGTGCATGCCTGTAGTCCCAGCTACTTGGGAGGCTGAGGCAGGAGAATGGCTTGAACCCAGGAGGTGGGAGTCAGGAGACAATAATGTACCACTGCACTCCCTCCTGGACAACAGAGTGAAACTCTGTCTAAAAAAATAATTAAATAAGACTTTGTCAGTTTTGCGGTATGGTCTGAGGCTCTTCCTGCCCAATTCTGCTTCCTCCCCTTTTATCTGCTACAGGTATCACTCCCAGCAAACCTCTTGCACACCTAACTCCTTCCAGCATCTCCTTTCCTAGAAGACCCGTTGACTAACACAAGTCCCCTCTTCTGGATGCTCCCCAAATCATATCACCTTCTTTTGTAGCGATGACCACAGTTGGAAATTCTATACTGTGTGCGTGTTATTTTGCTAAGACCTCGAAGCTCCATGAGGACAGGGACCCAGTTTTGCTCATCATTGCACCCCCAGACTGGAGCCAGATCATTTCCCACAGAGCCCCTCTGATACTTGCTTGACTCTGTGTGTCCAGGGCCATTTCGCTGGCTGTCGCAGTTGCATGCTGGGGTTTTCAAAGCAGCTCTGAGAGGGGAACACTAAAACCTCACGCCGACTTGGAGGCCGCACTGGAAAAGGATGTTGCAATGATGCTTGGATCAGTCCAGCGTTAAGGCCCTTTGGCTTCTTTCTCGGCATGGAAGTGTATGCTCTTTCTCCTTGAGGAGAAGATAGGACCTTAGCAGCGTTTCCAAGGCCTTCTGAGTGAAAACAGCTGTATCCGATTTTTTCCCGTCGCGGCACATTAGTGAAGTCCGGCTAAAGAGCAGCTTGTAGTTGACAAGACTCTCATCAGAAGGTGTCACTGCCATCAGCTGGAATTACAGTGGGGCCGTTCGAGCTGGTGTCCTAGCCAGATGCCAGTCTGGGTAATTACATTTGGTCTACCTAGATTCCCTCCGGACTTCTCATCGGACACAGTATTCTTCATCTCTGTCCTGAACTGCTATGGAGTGTTTGCTAAGAGCCTTTCAGCTGCCATAGTTCATTCCAGAAATGGATACATTCCTGAAGGACTACTTGTCAGGGGGTGTTGTTGGGGGGGCGGAATTCCAGCTTGGAAGATGGCCGGCCTGGCTAGGTGGCCCAAAGGCCCCTTCCCCTTCTAATTCCAATTCTGTGATTCAGTGATTATAACTCAAAATCTAGTGTTCATGGAACTGCTGAGAGCCTCATAAATGAAAATACCATCAGATCGAAAGTGCAGAATTGGTAGGAAAGATGTTCAAATACACACACACACACACACACACACACCCCAAAAAAAGTAGACACAAATCTGGACATCCCTGGGACCCAGAAACAGTCACAGTTACATATCCTCTCTCAGGGTGATTCTGCAGTCATAATTAAGTGAAGACAAAAACGTATATACATTGAATGAAAGGCATGTAATCTTTGGGATAATTCTGATGTAATTAACACAGCAGAGCTGCATTAAGGCCAATGTGCAATGAGTGGAATTTTCCAACATTGATTAAAGCAGACTGGAAGAGAACTGAGTCTTTGTCTGAAAGCTGCCAAATGAAAACAACTTTGGGATATTTAAATTCAGGTTGGAAATTGGTTTGGGTAAGGAATATTTAAACCACAGCTGTTCAAGGGCTAAAAACATGAGTGTATGTGCATGCACGCGTGCGCATGCACACACACACACACGCTGCCTCCTCTGAAAACAAGTTAGCTAAAGGTGTACATTCCTTCTAGGTTCTCATGATCAACAGATGTAAATGTTCACAGTGTTCAGATGAATTATGGACCCTAATGAGATTTCAATGCTGAGCAAACAATAAAAATTTATGCATTGCATAGTTGCCGTGGCCTTTGGCTCCATGGCTAGTGTTCTACCTTTTCAACAGCTTCAGTAATATAATATCCAGCTGGCTTTGGAGGTAAGGAAAATTCGAAGGGAGAATTGAAATTGTGAGAAATGATTTGATGGATTACTTTGTCAGAGTAATGCATGGCCTTGGCATAATTACCGTGGCCACCTTAACCCTGGAGGCAGGTGGTGACAAAGGCCTGCAGGGCCTAGGTGCGGAGCCCGATTCCAGCATGTGCTGCTGGCTCTCCTGGTCCCCAGCGTCCTCCCCGGAGTCCGTGGAGTCTAGGCGCTCCTGAACAAATGCCGAACAAGCACATTCCTGTCCTACTCCAACAAGCAAGAAGGACAGCCGAAGGGCTGCCTTCTCCCGAGAACTGTCATCCGTGTCAGAGTGAAAGGAAGGAAACAAAAGGCAGACCAACCTTGAAGCAAAATGGGGTGAAGACAGGGAAAAGGATGAATAATATCTTTTAAAGCAGAACATTTAAACACACATGACGGACACAGGCACACTCATCTTTTTTTTCTCTTCTCCTCATGTTTTTTTATCAGCTCAGACCTTGAACTTAACGCATGTCTGCCTTGTACTTTATAACGTTCAAATCTTAACGTGATTAATAGCAGATTCCCCGTGTGTACGTGTCAGAGACCACATCTGTAGCAAATCTGCCAGTATATTCCTTATACTAGTTTTACTCTGGAGCCATAAAGTAATTCCTGTTTTGTGAATGAGAATAAACCTATTATGCACTAATATAGCTACACCCAGCATCTGCTTTTCGGGGGGAAAAAAAAGTTGCCTATATGATAGGGCAGCTCAAATTTCAGTGTTCTGAAGTGCTTTTCAGTGTGGCCAGCAGTGAGAAACCACTCCCGCCTGTTCCTTGCTTTTATTATGATAACACAAATATATTTGCAGAATGTTGACAAACTCATTTGGCGTAAACAGAGTAGTCTTAATTGTAAGTTCTAATGTTTTAATGCTAAATTGGGCGATAAGTCAATGTTTCAGTTTGGCACAGTCAACCACACGTTTTCCAGATATAGCCTTTGACACTTTTTAAAGCAAGTCAGTGGTGTACTTAGGCTGTTCACAAAAGGCTTCATTCTTGTCTACAAATGGCAAACCTCCCCTTCATCCCAGAGTGCCCAATTCAAGTGAGGTTGGAGAAAAATAGATACTTCTCCTGTTTTAAGGCACTTCTCCAACTGTTATGCTAGTCAAAATGAAAAAAGTTTGGAGTATATGGGGAAAGCATGCCTAAGAAAGGTTATCTTGATTTTCATTTAACACACCCTCCCACTGACTTTTTAAAAGGTCCGTCGTACATATTTCTGCGTAGCTGAAAACACAGATTCCACCCTGGAGAGATCTCAGGGCTGTTCATGTTACACTCTGAAGCCATGTGTTTTCACATCATGGCAAAACTCAAGATGTAGGCAGATCCCTTGGCCCCTGTTGGCTTTGGATTTTAGTCTTTTCATTGTTCTCTACTGTAAACTTATACAGAAAAAGACCTCCACGCCCCTGAATATAAGCGCAGCCAGTAATGTTTTCCCACACATGCCAGTGGTGTAGCTGAGCAGGACCCCAGAATGGTGGGAAAGGAAAGGAAGTGGGGGCAGAGGTCCATGAAGGCTGTAGATGTGAACAAGGGGCTCACTGGGCTCCCCAAAAGCCTTCCTGGAGGCAGCCATTCCTTAAGAATCTTTGTCAGAAGAATGACCACAGGCAATTCAGAGGAGTCCCTCCCCAGTGAAGGCAGCTCTGGCGCTTGTAAGACCCTGCTACGAAGCCATACGAGGGGCTTTAGTTTTATGCTCCGCTGTATACACCTTTT